TTCTTTTTTCCCCACCCTCAGCTCTATGAGATGTTCTACTCAGTGATGAAATACCTGCCAGGACCACAGCAACAGGCATTTAAGGAGCTTCAGGGGCTGGAGGACTTCATAGCCAGGAAGGTGGAGCAGAACCAACACACACTGGATCCCAACTCTCCACGTGACTTCATTGACTGCTTCCTCATCCGCATGCAGGAGGTACATCCCAGCAGCCAATGGAGAGAGGTCCAAAGCCCAGCAGAGGGAAATCAGGCTGGGGATGGAGGAGAACAGAGACTCATTCAAATTATCCCCCCATCACAATAATCTTTACAATCACAATTCTAATTAACATCACTGTTCTATCTACTGAGCCCTTACCCACGGGCAGGACTTGTGTGTGCCAATCATAATAGCAAGCACTTCTATAACACTACCATGCACTGGGCACTGTCTTAAGTGCTTTACAGTATTCACCTATTTAGCACTCACACCAGCTCTTGGAGGAGGCTCTATTATGACCCAAATTTTACAAGTAAGGAAATCCAGAGAGTGTAAGTGGCATGTCTGAGGCCACACAGCAAGAAAGCAGTGGAGCCTAACTCAAACCCTTGTCTCTGGACTCTAAGGCCAATGCTTTTAGCCACCATGCTCTCTTCACTGGTTATCAGATACACCTGGGTGGACAGGTGACCTGGCTTTACTATGTGATGTTGAGGGTCCCCATCCCCATCTGAATGTCAATCTCCCTTCTGTGAAGAAAAGAGATGGGGCTTTGTGGAGTTTGAAGTTCATGGTGAAATGATCAGGGAGGGAATTCCTTCATAGTAAGCTTCAAGATTTTCAGTGAAGGAATAGAATGCAGTTGCTTAAAATTCTGTGTCTGTGTCTCAGAAAATCTCTAACTCTCTCTGACACATTCTATCATGCTGTCTCTGTCCCTCTTTCTCAATCACTCTCTCTCTCTATCCCTCTGTTTTTAAATATTCCTACTATTAAAAAATGAAAACCAAACTGATAATTAAAGGACAGATAGTCAGCTGGGCAAAGAGTGTGAGAAGAGCATTTGAGGCACAGCCAGCAACCTGGGCAAAGTCCTGGAGACAAGAGAGAGTCTGACAGAACTAGTGTCCCTCTTCCCACCCTTGGTCTGGATCTACAAGAGGTGGGCCCAAAGGAAAAACCCCAGAAAGGCCCTGAGAGCACATGGGAGTGGGCTCAGCTTGAAGCCCTCTCTCCCTGCAGGAACAGGAAAAGCCCAACACAGAGTTCTACATGAAGAACCTGGTGCTGACCACGCTGAACCTCTTCTTTGCTGGCACCGAGACGGTTAGCACAACCCTACGTTATGGCTTCCTGCTGCTCATGAAGCACCCAGATGTGGAAGGTAAGGCTGGAGGGGCAGGGAAGTGGGGGCCACAGGCCCTTAAAATTCCTGTGAGCAGTGTCCCCACCTCTCTCAGATCCCTGGACCCTCAGACATGCACTGCTCTCCAGAGATGAGGAGATATTCAACTAATGGGCACCAGCCATGTTTTACTAGCTCTTAAGGCGTTGAAACTATCTAAACTGATTGGTAAATAGCTCCTGTGCTGAGCCCACCAAGTGCCCACTACCTGATTCTCCAGACCATCCCCCAAGGCTCCCCTCTCATACCTCCCCTGTGATTCTGGCATAACCAGGTGAACAGGACCCAATGCTTATGACCAACCTCTGTTTTGAATGATCTATGTCCATGTCACACATGGATGTCATGCATCCAGTTGTACATAGTTGGACTATCATCCCTGTCCTGAGACCCCAAGATACCTAAACACATCCCACATCATCTCCCTTTATCCCCCAGCCAAGGTCTATCAGGAGATTAACCAGGTGATTGGCAAGAACCGTCAGCCCAAGTTTGAGGACCGGGCCAAGATGCCCTACACAGATGCGGTAATCCATGAAATCCAAAGATTCGGAGACATGCTCCCCATGGGCTTAGCCCGCAGAGTCACCAAGGACACCAAGTTTCGGGACTTCCTCCTTCCCAAGGTACTGCCTTCACCCAGACTAGAGGGACCTCCAGCCTGCTCCCTGTGACCCAGCACCCCATCCCCCTTAGAATCTTTCCAGCCCCTGTCCCACTCCCTCAATCAAAGACTTCTCCAACCAGCATGTCCCTTCAGCCTTCCCACTTAGAGACTCCTAAATCCCATATTTCCTCCAGACCTCTTACCTCAGGGACTATGAACCCCATGTCTCCCAAATTTCTTCTCTCAAGAGACATGAACTTCACTTTCGCTAGACCACCTGCCTCAGGGGCACAACTCTCATATCCCCCAAACACCCTGCCTTGAGAGACATGAACTGCATGTCCCCCAAAAATTCTGTCCCAGGAGACAGAACCCATGTTTCTCAAACTTCTTTCTCAGGGGACATGAACCCCATGTCCCACAACCTTCCTGTCTCAGAGAACATGAACCCCCCACACACACATCTCCCAAGCCTTCTGCCTCCGGAGACACAGACCCCAAGTTCCCCAACTTCCTGTCTCAGGAACATGAATGTCATGTCCCCCAAAGCTCCTCCTTCAGAGAGAACCCCCAACTCCCCTACCTTCTGTTTCTCCTCACCTAGGGCACCCAAATTCCCCTTCCGACCCTATGCACTTTCAGCACATCCATCCCCCCTCCACCTTGTCAAATCCCCTTCTCTCCTCCCCACCAGGGCACCGAAGTGTTTCCTATGCTGGGCTCTGTGCTGAGAGACCCCGAGTTCTTCTCTAACCCCCAAGATTTCAACCCCCAGCACTTCCTGGATGAGAAAGGGCAGTTTAAGAAGAATGATGCTTTTGTGCCCTTCTCCATTGGTAAGAGACCACTGTCTGATGCCAAGCCACCACTCACACCAGCAGAGGCCTCCTTCATCCCAGCACCCTCTCTGAGGTGTAGCCTAGTATCTTTCTCCACCTTAAAAGTCCCTTTTATGATCTACCATGGAGCCAACCAGCTGCAGCCCCCATAACTACCAAGTACCTGGGCCCAGGCAAAGGAAAGGGATGATCGTACCCATTTCACAGATGAGGAAAATGGAGGCCCAGAGAGTGAGTCAGGGATTTGTCCCAGGTCACTAAAATTCTTCTGATTCCTAAGAAAGAGATGACAACACAACAACCATATTTGAGTGTGTATTTTGGGGCAAGACTCATCTAAAGTTCCCATTGCTAAAGCCTGGTATGTCTCACCCCCAACTCGTGTACAAGGGAAACTGAGGCTCAGAGAGGATTAGAGATTTCTCTGAAAGTCTCTCAGGCCACAATATTCCAGACCCTCCTCTCTGGGAGAATGCGGCTGGGGATCGGGAGAGGGGCAAGGTGGCAATGAGAGTCAGCCTCACGTCCAGCCCTCCTTTCCCATCTCTTCAGGAAAGCGGAACTGTTTTGGAGAAGGCCTGGCTAGAATGGAGCTCTTTCTCTTCCTCACCAACATCATCCAGAACTTCCGCTTCAAGTCCCCACAGTCACCCCAGGACATCGACCTCTCTCCCAAACATGTGGGCTTTGCCACCATCCCACCAAACTACACCATGAACTTCCTGCCCCGCTGAGCTAGAGTGGTGCCAGGGCAGGGCTATTGGGAGGACCTATTGGGGTGGGGCCATGGGAGGAGCTAGTGGGAGGAGGAGGGCTAAGGATCAAGGGTGAGCTGGAGGAAAATCGGAAGGGGCAAGGTGGATAGAAAGAGAAAGAAGACACAGATGCACTCTGTAACAACTTAGTATATTATTATATAATATGAATGGCTCTGGGCCAGCCGAGTGGCTCGTTGGTTAAGAGTTGGCTTGGGAGCGTGAGCTCTGAGCAGCAGGGCAGTCAGTTAGGGTCCCACATGGGCCAGTGACGCTGTGCCCTCTACAGCTAAGATGGTGAACAACAGCTCGACCTGGAACTGGGCTGCCGTGAGTCGCCGGCGATGGTGGAGGCTGCAGTGAGGCTGCAGTGGGCTGCCATAAGCTACCATGAGCGGCCAGCAGCCAGTGTGAGCTGCCAAGAGCCACCGTGAGAGGCCGTCTAATGGCCGGCGACCAACCTGCCTCAACCAGGAAGAGTGCAATGATAATACCAACATGGGCCAGTGAAGCGACGTCCTCCACAACTAGACTGAAGAACAAAAGGACAGCAACTGGTTTGTTCCCCTTCCCCAATCCCTCAATGCTGTTCCCTCCCCCAATTCCCCAATAAAATCTTTTTCTTTTTAGATTTTTTTTTTAATTGGGGAATCGGGGAAGGGGAACAGACAAGTTGCCATCCTTTTGCTCTTCAGTCCAGCCGTGGAGAGCACCACTTCACTGGCCCATGTTGGTATCATGATCATTGCCCTTTTCCTGTCTGAGGCAGACAGGTCGCCATTAGATGGCGACTCACAGCAGCTCATGCCGGCTGCCAGCCGCTCACATTGGCTGCCAGCCACTCACGGTAGCTCACGGCAGCCCACGCCATTGCCAGCGACTCAAGACAGCCCAGCTCCAGGTCGAGCTGTTGTTCACCATCTTAGCTGCAGAGGGAGCAGCATCACTGGCCCTCATGTGGGATCCAAACCCGGACCCTGCTGCCCAGAGCCAGCGCTTCCAAGCCAACTCCTAACCAACGCGCCACTCAGCTGGCCCCCCAATAAAATCTCTAAAAAAAAACAATTGAACAGCTCTGTCCAGGGGATTTTTCCAGAGTCCTGTCAGGCATCTGACCTGGCTTCGCTACACACACTTACCCACAATTTCCCATTCATGCATACTGCATGCTCCCACCAGATAAGGTGAGATCTGATCAGAGTCCGACCAGAGGACAGCAGTCAGACCTCTTAGTGAAATGGGTGCGAGAGAGAAACACTTTCAAAAAATTCTGGAAGAACTTAGGTCATGACACAGCCATGTACTAGTGCGTGTGCACACATGTGCATTCAACTATATGATTGCATAGTCTCCTGAGTGTATGCCTGGATTCCTTTTGCTATAAGTTTCTGAAGGTTTGGCTCTCTCTGATAGATCTGGGGTCTGCAGTACCACCCAGCAAGGAGTCTCAGAGCTACCTACTTACTCTCAAATATGGCAGTGTATGTTTCCTTAGAAGTGGCATCCTTGAGCAGTGCACAATCTGAACATTCATACACATCAGCCTTAGATGTGTGTTTCTTAAACTAAATGCTACACAGACTCCGGCTCACTTAAACTTGCCACACTTGAAAGACCAGTGATTGAGATCAAGTGAGAGGGAAACCTGGTCTTCTTGAGGCAGGACAGATAGCCTAGGAATGATATTTAAATGAATCCAATGGGAGAGACCTACCTCAGAATGCTCTCAGGATATACCTGTCCTATGGGGGCTTTTTCCACTTCGTGTGACCCTTGAAAATGGAGGGAGGTAAATGCTCTGAGAAATAAGGAAACTACTTTTTTTTCTTTTTTAAGAAGGGAAATGGAGCTGGGCCAGGGCTGTGAATGAATCCAAACAAAGACAGGCACAAGCAGAGCTCAGACGCTCACATGTACATGACGTGGCCCATGTGCCTACATATTACCCCAGAATGCACACACAGAAAAACCCATACACTCATATATAGTCATCAGTTGTACATGTGTACACACAGATGTCAATACAGTCACGCATCAGGTTGGACACAGAGACATCCCCAAACAGGCATATCCCAAAGCCTGTCCTCGTGTTCCCCACGAGGGGATCAGTGTGCACTCAGGCACACTGGCACGGACACACACATCCTCACACAGATATGCATATGTAGACATAAACAGGTATGGATACCCATTGATGCACAAACACACACTCCACAAAGACAGGTGTAGGCATGAATTCATATGTGTATGTTAACATGGACACGCTGACACATACAGACATGCGCAGACACCCCAAGCATGTACCTAAAATGACACACATATACAGATGTAAATAATGATAAATATGACAGAGGCACCTAGGAAAACCCACTGGACAAAATGACACAAACGTCAAGAGATCCAGGAACACACAAGAGTGTTGAAGGGCAGGCTTGATGCGACCCACGCACCGACCGAGCGTTCCTGACTCGTCAGCCAGCAACCCACCAAAAGGGTACCTGAGAGAACTGGGTGGGAGACTGGAAAAGAAAGAAACTGTAGACGAAAGCTGGGGGCAGGAGGTCCACCCAATGCTGATGGCAGACAGTGGCCTCATTTATTATTTGTATACAGCTTTTATAGCAAAAGTAACTTTCCTAGGGTAGGGGGTTTTGGGGACTGTGAGGGGGTAGCCCCCTCCTCTCAGGGAACAAATTCCTTGGAAGCAATCTTTCCAAAGCGAGACAAAACAAAGTATAGCAAGCAGAAACTCTTAACAGGATGGCCTCCCACTCTGTAGCTTTCAAAGCCGTTGGCTGATTTCTCCTCAGCGGCCAACCTTCCCACACTGCTCACCGGGCCTCAGAGCCTGTCAGCCTGCCAGCTTTCAGGCTTAACCCTTACTGCAGACCTCCGGCTCCCTACACAGGCTGACTTGCAGCAAAGGCAAAAGAGAAAAACAGACAGTCAGAGACAAGGGGACTGAGACAGAGAGGGACTGAGGGACAACGTCCTGTACAGGGCTCCACGCCCATCCAGAGCAACCTAAGGCTCTAACCCTGACTGCCTAATCCACCATCTCTCCAGGAGGCTTTCCCAGAATATCACTTTCCTATTCACAGCTCCAGGGGATAAGGCTCAGCTGTACTGAGGAAGGAATGGGGAAGGAGGCTCCTGAAAAACCGTCTCTTATTTCCCAAACAAAAAGCAATGGGCACTTTAGACCAGAAAATGTAAACGCCCGAGGGGATATCAGCAAACCTCTCATCCATCTCCTTCATCCCGCAGACTAATAGCAAGAACAGCTAATACTTATTGAGCACTTACCACCATGTACATCACACACATTAACCCATTGACCTTCAACAAAATTGCCAAAGAAGCAGGTATTGTCATGGGCCCCATAAGGCTCAGAGAGGTTAGATTACCTGTTCAACGTCATACAACAAAGAAATGATAAGGTTAGGATTCCAATCCATGTAATCTTGCTCTTAACTGCTATACCATCTGTCCAGAAAGGGAAAAAGAGGCCCAGCGAAGGGAAGGGATTTTCCTGGGTTCACCTCTAGCTCTCTCTAAAAGCCTCCCCTGAGCCACCTCACACTGGCATGTGTCCTGCCTCTGAGAGTAAGGCATGTAAGATCAAACAATGATGGCTCACTCCATGCTCCAGGGTCAGAGACTCTCTGTCCTCAAGCACATCTCCCAGTCTTAGTCCCACATCCCCTCCCGCCCAGCTCATGGCAACCTGTCTACACACTCAGGGCCCTTGCTCATTGAGAAACAAACTCCCCAAAGTTCTACCTGCCTCCGTCTCAAGAAACAAGGGGGTAAAGGCGGGGTCCAGGCTTGAGGCCAACCCAGGTGCAGGAAAGGAAAGTAGATTGTTTTATGGTAAGCATGCACTAGAGTATACAGATATCAAATTATAATGTTGTACACCTGACATTTATATAATGTTGTTAACCAAAGTTACCTCAATTTAAAAAAAAAAAAAAGATTATGGGATTGCTATCTGCCAAGCCCTTGCTAATCCCCTTTCCATCCTTTTTCCCCTCCAAAACCAACAAACAACTTTCCTCTCTGTTTGTTCTCTGCCCTTTGCTCCCTCCCCACAGGCCTCAGAACTCTGGGCCAAGAGTGCTTTGAGCAAGATGCCAGCCCTGGGAGTGCCAACCTCACCCTCCTGTACTCACCCAAGATTAGAGGTGGCACCTGAGCAGGGTTGTCCAAACATCGGAGCCCACCCAGTGTCCATTTGGGGCCTATCCCAGGCCCACATAAGACCAATCTCAGCATTCACCTGGTGCTCATGCCAGAGCCTGTTGGGAGCAACCTCAGAACCTACATGGTGCCACCCTATGCCCTCCTGAAGACAGCCTCAATGCCCACCTGGGTCTATTCTCAAAGCCCTGTTGACATCAGAGATGGCGCTATTATTGTACTCCTGGTATCAAGTTCCATGTCAACTTATTTTGAATGCTAGTGTCTACCTGGGGGCAGGTTCATTGCCAATATGATACCCCTCCCTTTCAGGGCCACCTGACACCAGGAGCAGAACCTGCCAGTGTAATCCCTGTGTCCAATTGTGCTGCCAACCTCTGCACCCACCTGCTGCTAAACTTGGTCTCACCTTGGTCCCCAGGGTGGGCTAGGCCAGTCCATGAAGAAAGAAGAAGAGAGGGTTCAAAGCCCAGCTTCCCCACTTATTACCTACCTATGTGACTTCCAGCAAATGGTTTTATGGAGTCTTGGTCTTCTTGACTACAAAGTGAGGGTGATAATTAACGAGCACCACTGTTATAAAGATTCAATCAGGTCATGCATACCTAGATTTAATCTTCACAATTAGTGCTCACCAGGGGTAACTGTCCTTATTATTAAGGAAGAGTGTCCATGAAGGAAGGAAAAAAGAGCCATTCACCCTTTCTCTACTGCTACCCTCAGGATCCCAGGGCCAACCTCTGCTCTGACACTGGAGCTTACCCAAATCTCTCCTGCTGTAGTTCCCTCTGTCTGCTAGCAGCCCTGACAAGCCAGGAGCCACCCCTAAAGGGGACTTCACACACCTTGAAATATGACCTTCTCTTCCCAAATACCTCCTTTCCACAGTTGGGGAAACCCAGCCCCAGAATGGGGAAATAAGAGTGCAGAGCAGAAGAGACATGTGTGCCCCCTGACCACTCTCTGTTTTCTGTCCTAGTATACCCATATATAAAATGGGAACCATTAATAACAACAACAACAGAAATGATACAGTCAACCTAGCGGGCTTCCCTAAGGATCTGGGTAGGAAACCAGAGGGGGGCTCTCTGTGAATTATAACCCTTCAGGCAGTTGCAGTTTTGGGTGGTTGTCACTACTACGTCCCAAATCCTGGCCAGTCCTTCTGCCAACTGAGACCATGAGTTTCCTTTTCTCCAGTTCTATGGAAGGTTCCACTGAAATGCGGCTCTAGTCTTCTACCCTTTTGCCAACCAGAGCTGGTCGGTTCTGTGACATCCCACCCCAACCTCGCTTAGAGGTTCCAATGAGGATTCTGGGCATCAAGAGGCAGCATTGTGTCCAGAACAGAAGTAAGTCTGACCTCATGATACAGCTGGACTCTTCATATACGTCTCCCAAAAAGCTGACACCGCCTGTCCAGAGTCCTTCCTCACCTCAAGACCCGCAAATCCATTCCCTGGAATCTTCCCTCCTGAGACCTTTAAACCTACATCCCTTCTCAACAAAAACCCCCCAAATCCACAGCCACACATCCTTATTCTAATACCCTTAAATTTGGGGATTCTTCTCTCCCAAGACCCCAAAATCTATAACTTTGGGGTCCCTTCTCACTCTGAGACCCCAAATCCCAAGCTCAGGAGCTTCCACATGCAAATATTCCAAAATCTTCAGTTCTGAAATGTGTCTGCTGCCCCCGCCCCCATCCACAGCCCCAGAGTGGACCCTACCGAGGGGCCACAAATTCAGTTTTAGGGCCCATTCCCTCTTAATCTGCCCCAGGGTCCCCTCTGCCTCCTCCCTTGCTGGCTATGTCCCAAGCTAGGCGGGGAGCACGGTGAAAGCTGTAGTTGGGAGGTGAAAGGAGACAATGATGTAATCAAGACCAAAATCCGCCCCTTTCTCCCAGGAAATATAAAAGCAAACCATCCCAGACATCACCATCTGACCATCAGTCTCAGCGTCACCATGGTGGCCTCAGAGCTGCTTCTGGTGGCTTTGCTGGCCTGCTTGACTATAACCGTCTTGATGTCTGTCTGGCGGCAGAGGAAGCTCTGGGGGAAGCTGCCTCCTGGACCTCCTGCATTGCCCTTCATCGGGAACTACCTGCAGCTGAACACAGAGCAGATGTACCTCTCCCTCATGAAGGTATCCTGAGGCAGGAGATGGGTGGAGGAGGGTGGGTCTGGGAACCTGACGGGTTTGGCTGGGACTTTGTGGCAAGGCATTGGCAAGGTTGGACCAACATCTTAGGAAAGGGGAGTTTTGAAGATTTAGAGTCAGGATCCTAGCCAGGAAATACCAGATCTTCGGACGTCCAGTCCCTTGACTGTCAGAACCTGGGGAAAATGCATCCCAGTCTTGAGGTCTGGGTACAGAGCCAGTTCAGAGTAAGGGCTGCTCCCTCTAACCACTTGCCACCCACCTCCATCAGATTAGAGAGCGCTATGGTCCAGTGTTCACCATCCACCTGGGGCCCCGGCGGGTCGTGGTGTTGTGTGGACATAAGGCTGTGAAGGAGGCTCTGGTGGACCAGGCAGAGGAATTCGGTGGGCGAGGCGAGCAGGCCACCTTCAACTGGCTCTTCAAAGACTATGGTAAGGAGGACCCTATGTGAAGGAATGTGGTTCAATCAGACATGATGGCCTCAGTTTCCCCAGCATTCTTCTCCTGACTCACCCACCCACTCAAAGCTGTGCCAGAGCCCTTCCTTTGGTCTCCTCTGTCCCCATTACTGTTCATCCCGGTGTCTTCTCTAATTTGTCTTAGAGTTTCTGTGTCCCTATTTCTCCCTGTTTCTCTCTTTGGAACCCTGGTCTTCTATCACCATGTGTCTTTTTCTCCTTCTCAGCTTCTGTACTTCCCCATGCTTCTCTCTCTCTCTCTCTCTCTCTCTCTCTCTCTCTCTCTCTCTGTCTATCTCTCCTTCCCTCCTTTCCTCCCTCCCTTGCTTCATCTTTCTCCCACTCCTTCTCTCTGCTCACCTCCCTCTACCACTCTTGCCCGGCCTGCTTATCCTTCTAGGCCCTCTATACTTCTACACTCCCTCCCTAGGAGTGGCCTTCAGCAATGGGGAACGGGCCAGGCAGCTCCGACGTTTCTCCATCGCCACCCTGAGGGACTTTGGCATGGGCAAGGGCAGCATCGAGGAGCGCATCCAGGAAGAGGCTGGCTTCCTCCTTGAGGCATTTCGGGACACGCACGGTAAGCAGCGGTCACGAAAGCATAGAGGAGAAAAACAGCCAACTCGGACCCAGTGCGTTCTGGCCTGGGAAAGTAACTAGGTTGGGGGAAGGAGTCGGGACTCCCAGCCCTGAGGCCTGGTGCTGGGAGTTCTGCTCATCTCTTCAGGGCCGTCCTTGAATTCTCAGACTGGCATCAGTCCACCAAGCTGATTCTCCCCCAAATCCCTTCTCTCCCCAACCCCACCTCCCAGGCGCCTTCATCGACCCCACCTTCTTCCTGAGCCGAACTGTGTCCAATATCATCAGCTCCATTGTCTTTGGGGACCGCTTTGACTATGAGGACAAAGAGTTCCTGTCACTGCTGCATATGATGCTGGGAAGCTTCCAGTTCACAGCTACCTCTATGGGTCAGGTAACTGGTCCCAGCCCGGCTTTACTGTGTCCCTACCACAACCTGCCAACTGCTCCCCCACATGGAGACAGGTGCCCCAAACGCCCATCCTTTTCCAGACAGGGTCCCCTCAAAACCAGCCTTCTCTCTTGGACAATTAAACAGTTGCACCAGAACCCATGACAGGGACCCAATATCCAGTCTAAAATACCTGGATATCTCAACTAATACTATCCCTACCAAAAAGAAAAAAGAAAAAGAAAAAGTAAAGAGAAGGAAGAAAGAAAAGGAGGGAGGGATGGAGGGAGAGGGAAGGGAAGGAAGGAAGCAACCTGCAGGCAACATGTCTTCAACCCAGTTCTCTCACCTGTGCAAATGTTTCCATTCTAATTTACCTAATATCTAACAGGTGCTTCCTGTTAAGGTTTTTCATCTGAATTTCTTTTTTTATTTTTAAGTATTTTATTTTGCTATATTATACTTCTACTAATCATTATTACTCAAGTAAGCTTTTAAAAAAATCTATTTTCTCTTTTTCTTATTTTTAAGTTTTTTTCAATTGTAGTTGACATACAATATTATATTAGTTTTCCGGACAAGTGACCACCTCAGCCCACCTCCTGAGTATCTTGAACACCTGGTGCTGCAAAATCTATCCCATCAAAACCACTGGATATCAGGCCGGCCGAGTGGAGCGATGGTTAAGAAATGGCTTGGGACACCAGAGGGCCCCGGTTTGGATCCCACATATGAGGGCCAGTGACACTGTCCTCCACAGCTAAGATGCTGAACAACAGCTCAAC